AATTTCCGATCCGCCGACTCGAGCATTTCTTTAGTCGTTTCTTCAGACGTTTCCAAATAGAGAATACACGATCTGAACTTATCCTCTGTTTCTTTCCAAACTTTTCCTAGTTCGGCGCTACGGACTTCCAGAGCAAAAATATTTATATCTTCGGGTTTCATTGCCCGGATATATTCAACAAATTTGACAAAAGAGTCAGAAACTCTGATAAAACTATCAAAAGGAGTAAACATATTGGAGTCTTAAATGCAAAAACCGCTCAACAATCAAAAAGGATTACGAAAAATGTCCAAATGTAATGATTTTCTAAATCAAGAAATCGAATTATGGAGAAAATGCCAATCTGGTTTCGATTATTAACCAATCGGTCCAAATTATTCCCAAGAAACACCAACTTCCTTAAGGAAAATTCCAAAAATCGAAATAAAAATTAAAAAATCGACCAAATTTTCCAATATTTGGATAAAATTCCAAAAAATGTCCAACAAGTTTTCAAAATTCCGACGAATTTACCACAATTTTAAATGAAATATAGCTCAAATTCGCTAAAACAATCCAAATATCCGAAATAATATTTGAAAACCGATAAAAATTGTTCAAAAAACAAACCAAAATTGTTTAAATGACAAATAAATTCCAAAAATCTCGAAAATTTCCAAAATATTCCCAAAGAATATCAAAAACCACAAAAGGTTAACCAAAAATGTGTGTAGCGTACACGTAACAAAGAAGAAACGAAAGAAAACAACTCAACAAGGCGAGCGACGGCTGCCTAACAAATGGTATTATGTGTATAGCGTGTGTGTATGGTTAAACGATAGGCTAGCGGTGGCTAGCGTACGTATGTCAACCAACGTAACAATGTAAGTATAATTGTGTATGGTGACAACCAACGTACGTACGTTAACCAGCGTAGGTATGTAAATATAATTGTGTATTGTCGATCAGTGGAAAAAGAAACAAACGAAAATATTTTTGCGTTTGGTTATTATTATTTTTTTCTTGCTATTCTAATAGAATGCAACCAAATATTAGAGTGAGTGGGGGTGTTTCAAATTATTTATATTTATTTTAAAAATAATTTAATATTTTTTCTTAATACACCAATTGTTTTTTAAAAACTTTTAATAGAAAATTTATTAAATATTAATCACTCACTTTTTAGAATAAAACCACAAATTAAATACGAAAATTTTTAACAATTTTTTTTTTCTTTTTTCACTGATCGCGATTAGTCCGTCCGCGACTAATATACGACAGACGGAGAGACAAACGAAACGACAAAACGTTGTAAAGCGGCCGTTGTATTTTTTGTTGCAAATAGGCCGTCGAATTTGTTTATGTTTTGGTTGTTATTATTATTTTTGTTTTATGTTTTTTTTTTATTGCGAGCTCACAAAGAAAATAAAAGCACTGCACTGACCTACCTGTTTTTGTTTATGAAGATGATAATTATGATGAGTTTAGGGATGATGATGTATAGGGATGGTGATGATGTTGTGTTGTTGTTTTTTGCTGCTGAAAATGCAAACAATAAACCAATTAGAAAATCGTTTCCAAAAGCTCGTCTCCGGTTCGAATGGACCAAAATGTTGACGCCGAAATTGCGTGCAAAATAGAAGAAATAAAAACACGAACGTTTTTAGATTTAAATTAAAATAAAGGCAGTTGCTTTATTGATAAAAAATAGAAGAGTGGAAAAATAGAGTGACAGATTACCTGTTGATTGGTAGGCCAACGAAAAGAGAGTGTTTGAGAGTCAACAATAATAATGGAAGGTGGCGTCGGCGCTAATTCCATACTCGTTAGAATCTGTCATTTGACATTTCAATGTTGTAATATTACGGAGTATGAAGATTGTAACGAATATGGAATTCAATGCGTTTTGAAACACAATAAAAGTGTAAACGCCCAAGAGAATGAAATCAATAGATTTTCTAAATTAAACATATGTTTATTGCTAATGAAAAACTGCGAGAAAGCGTGATTTGTATTTGACATTGGATTGTTTTAAATCATTAGTAGTTCCAATTATACGTGATTACTGTAATTGAACAAACTATTCAATTAAGCGGGTTCGGATAATTGGTTCCTCGGTTAATTGAACAAAAATGTGTGCAAATTTTGATGTGCAATTAACCGAAAAATACTGTATATGGACTTTTATTATACCTGTTATGGGTTTTTCGGATGACTTTATGACTTTGTCATACAAATTTCGTTAGGGTCGGTACAGGTATCAGTTACCTATGAATGTAAAAATACATATTATATGGGGATTTATAGATTTTTCTACCTATGAATGAAAAATCCGCATTTAACTTGAGGAATCAATGAGGGATCTTTTCAATAGGTTGCTATTTTCTTCTGATCCAAAAGTTTGTCTCGTAGTACATCTCTTAACCATCGATATAGTGAGCCACTATCTGAAGAAGTCCTTAAACTACTAGAGGATCCAATGCTACCAACTAATTCAGATAAAACTTCGGATTCTGAATGTGGTTAGTATTTAATAAGTAATGTCTAAATTTTATAAAATATATATAGTTTAATGTTTTTGATGTGTAATATTAACAATAATAAAGATACATATAATAACAATAGTTTTTGCCCTTAACCATCTTTTTACCCTCCAAATGTTTCGGAATTTTTAAAAGAAGCTTCCATTTCAGGAGTACTATTAGTTATAACAAAAAATGTTGCTTTTTAAAAAATGTTTAGAAAGTTACAAAATAGTATTTTTCACCCAAAAACTTAAGTTAAAAAAAAATCGCCTCTTAGTGGGTTAATAAAAAAAATTGCCAAATTTTTTCAGAAAATAATTAAAATTGTCCATCTAAATCTATTCTTATCCAAAATATCGATAAACATACAGTAAAACATCTACTTTTATTCTCTGCGCGATAGATCTCCATTTTTTCCCAATGTGTGAATATATTTTGCCATGGCACAATGTCTTGATTAACTGTCAAAGTGGGTAATTTCTACTTGAATTCGATGTGCAGTGTTGCCAACCTTTTGATATATTATATGGAAAATTTTGACAGATAATCGAGACAAAAACCAAGGTTTTTGTTGGTATACATCACCTTATTATTGCATCATGGTACTTATCTTAGTTCCGTTCCAGAACCTAAAAGAATCTACTCATTTTACATGTTTTGCAACTTTTTACTCGAAAACCGTTCCCCAACCCACAAAACTGGTAAAACATTGAATCTAATTTAAGAGAGCACAAAACAAAATGGCGTTCTCTTTGTAAACTTTTTACTCGAGAAATTTGGCCGAGTAAAAATGGTAAACAGGAATGCCTACTTCTGATTTGCTGTTATGTTGATTTTGAAGTATTGCCATATAATTTTGGCATATTTACTAGATTTGCGTTCCCGAACTTTTCAAATCATTTTGTACTCTGAGAGCAATTTTGAAATGTTTTCCTTTTACTAGATTTACTATTAAAAAAGTACTGGAACAGACCACTTATGTATTTACAAATATCGTTAAAAAATGTTTACTGGGTTAATTAGCTGAACATATCCATACATAAACATTTTACGTACATATCAGTACACATATATGTATGCGCAAATAATTCACCCAACGCAAAGAAAATTTTAGCAAAAGCAAAGCGAAAAAAAGAAATACAAAATAGAAAAAAAAAATAATTGTTGCGGTTCGAAGATAACAAAGTTTAACATGATCAATTCAAACAATTCCATTCAGTATTGTTTTTACCATTGAAATGTACGAATTAAAATGTCGCGCATCGACATCGGCATCTGTCGAAAATGGAGATGTATTTCGTAAATTATCGCGTGTCATGGGCGTCAACATAAAATTTGTGGATCTAACGTATTTTGCCCGAAATGAAGATCGAAGTAATTACTAAATTTGATGTGTCTGTGTGTGCTAAAAAAAACGAAAATAATTTATTGAAAAATAAAATGAAATAAAGAAATGAAGAAAATTTAAATCTATCGATGTATTTTAAGTGAATGTGGAGAAGAAAAAAAATAAAAACGAAAAATTAAACAAATTTTGAAAAATGAATAATAGTTTTAGCTAATATGCTATGTCAGATATTGTATAATAATAATTGTGTGCTTTAAATATTCATATATGTAACATATGATTCGATTTAATAATAACGGGTTCATAGTATTTAAAGTTGAACTTTTTGAAATCTGATAAGCTGTTTGGGACTTTAAATGATTTATAGGGCAAAAAAAAAGAGTTTAAATACGAATACAGGAACGGATGTGTTGAAGTTAAGTTCCAACAATGAAACGACGTTCGTTTAATTTCCGGTAGCATTTACTTAGTAAGAATTTGCAGAGAGTAAATACGAATTTTTCGTTCTCAAGAGAGAAAATTGCAAAAAGTAAATGAATAACATTCAGTAAAAAGATTGTATCGACACAGCTGATTAAAACAACAAACAATTTTGGCACAACAGCTGATTAAATATCAGCTGATGGTACAAGGAAATTCTTACTGAGTACATTTTCCTTGTAAGAATTTGCAAATACTCAGTAACACAACCGTCAAATATGCTCTCTCAATTCAATCTCTATTTTCTGGACTTTTGGGTAAACGAACAACATTTTGTAATCATTTGTACAAATTATTGAGTAAACGAACGAACCTTCCATTATCAATATCAGCCGGATTTTTTGTTATTGGATTATTACAAATTGTGGAGGCTTTACGATAAAATTCGAATGAATTATTAATAATTTCAAGTACTGGATATTTTGTTCTAATGACACGTTTACATTGTACTGAATTTAGTAAATGAAGTGGATTTAAATTGTCAATTCCATTGCATATATAGGTAGTCCATTTAGCGCAGCTGATGTCTTGATTAACTGTCAAAGTGGGTAATTTCTACTTGAATTCGATGTGCAGTGTTGCCAAACATTTGAAATATTACATATAAAATTTTGACAGATAATCGAGACAAAAACAAAGGTTGTCGTTGTGATACATCACCTTATTATTGCATCATGGGTGTAACATTTTCTTATGTTCGTATTTTTCTTATATAAGATGTTCTTATATCCGTGGTCTACTGTAGTGTACACTAACAAAAAATGAAGAATTTACGAAGTATTCAATCCAATAAGCACATTTTTCAAAATTTCAAATAGGTTTATTATTTTTATAGAAGCAATATAAACGTATGTACATATACCAAATTCTTTATTCTGCAGCTAGATGACGGAGTTTTCATATTATTGGTGGAAAAAACCGTATTCGTACATTGCATGGTACAATAAATAGCGCAGCTGACGATTCGATTAACTGCCAAAATGCGTAGTTTCTACATGAATTTGATGTGCAATTGGTTGGCATCATGTAAAATATTACTAGAAAAAAATTTGACAGATGCTCGGTACAAAAACAAATGTTTTTGTATCAATACATGATGCAATAATAAGGTGAGGTATAAAAACAAAACCTTTGATTTTGTCTCAAATTTTCCATTATAATATTTCACATGGTTGGCAATATTGCACAACGAATTCAAGTAGAAATTACTCACGTTGACAGTTAGTCAAGACATCAGCAGCTGGTTTTAATACATAAAGCCCTCTAAGAAAAACGGCACGAAAACGAGCCGCTGGCGAAGTCAGTTTTTCATACAAGATAACGAAAACCATGGCACACTTAATAGGTAGTCCATATAGCGCAGCTGATGTCTCGATTAACTGTCAAAGTGGGTAATTTTACTTGAATTCGATGTGCAGCGTTGCCAATCATTTGAAATATTATAAGGAAAAAAATTGACAGATAATCGAGACAAAAACAAACGTTTTTCGGTCTGTTCCAGTACTTTTTTTAATAGTAAATCTAGTAAAAGGGAAATATTTCAAAATTGCCCTCAGAGTACAAAATATTTTGAAAAGTTCGGGGACGCAAATCTAGTAAATATGCCAAAATTAGTTGGCAATACTTCCAAATCAACATAACAGCCAATCAGAATTAGGCATTCCTGTTTACCATTTTTACTCGGCCAAATTTCTCGAGTAAAAAGTTTACAAAGAGAACGTCATTTTGTTATGGGCTCTCTTAAATTTGATTCAATGTTTTTTGTGGGTTCAGGAACGGTTTTTAAGTACAAATTTCCAACACTTTCTACATTCCCCGATTCTACACCCCAACAGTGATCCTAAATCCATGTTTCAGGATTCCAACTCTATCGGTTCACTCACAATTCAAATTGTACCAATTTTAGTACACAGTAGTACGAATTACCAAAACTTCCTACATACCCCAATTCTACACATCCGCACATAAAAATTTCAGGATTCCAACTCTATCGGTTCAACCACAATTCAAATGGTACCAAATTTAGTACAAAGTAGTACAAATTTCCAAAACTTCCTACATACCCCAATCCTACACACACACACACTGATCCTAAATTCATGTTATAGGATTCCAACTCTATCGGTTCACCCAAAATTCAAATTGTACTAAATTTAGTACATAGTATTACCAATTTCCAAACCTTCCTACCCCCACACTGATCATAAATCAAAATTGCAGGATTCCAACTCTATCACTTCACCCACAATTAAAATTGTACCAAATACACTTAGTACAAAATTCTAAAACTTCCTACATACAACAACCCTACACCCACCCGAACCAAATTTCATAATTCTAGCTTTATTGAAATTCTCTTGAAATTCAAATTGTACCAAATTTGGTACCATTTAGTACCCATAAGTATTATATTATTAAACTGAAGCCTGACCCCAATCCCACACCCCTACTGTGATCCTAACTTCAAATTTCATTGTTCCCGCTCTATCGGTTCGATCAAATCCAAACTTTACCGATTATAGTACGATTTAGTACTTTTCGTACACACAAGTAATAGTACGATTTATAACTTTTCGTACACAAAAGTAACAAATTTCCAAAACTACGTTCATATCCCAATCCTACACTCCGACGGTACTTTTAATTTCAAATTCCAGAATTCCAACTCGATTTGTATTTCCAAATTAAATTTGTACCAAATATAGTACCATATAGTACTTTTCGTACACATGAGTACACGCTTTCAAAACCATATCCTTAAATTGATCCTACTTCTAAACCATAATTCACACTCTAAATTTCAAGTTTTTAGCGCTATCCACCCACATGCTACGAATTTGTACCAAATTATGTAAATTTTAGTACTTTTCGGATAGTTATAATTCAAATTTCCAAAAACCCTTTGGTACACCTATCCTACACTCCATCAGGGACCACCAATCCAAATTTCAGAGTTCTAGCTCTACCGGTTCGCCAAATACAAATTTCCAAAAACCCGTTGGTACACCTATCCTACACTCCATCAACGACCACCAAACCAAATTTCAGAGTTCTAACTCTACCGTTTCACCAAATACAAATGGTATCACATTTAGTACTTTTCGTACCGTTCTAGTACGAATTTTCAAAAACCCAGCCTTATCTGTCACATTTGGACCAAGAGTGACCCTCACCCAAAATTTCAAGATTCTAGCTTTAGCCGTTTCGTCTGGGCTAGGGATAAGTAAATCGACTTTCGACTAATCGATTAATCGACTTTTTGTATTGAAAATCTAAAAGTCGAAATCGACTTTTGATCTATGAGGAAATCGTAAAGTCGACTTTTCAAGATCGACTTTCGATGTTTTCATAAATACTTGTTTTTTTTTTTTTTTATCACAAAGCTCAAATTGCCCAAAAATTGCACTTTCCGAAACTTTACATTATCTGTTAACAATAATTCATATAAAAAATCAAATTTTTAGTCGATTTTGCAGAAGTCAGTAAAAATCGAAAATCGATTTTAAACAGTTTTGACAAAATCGAATGATCGAAAAGTCGACTTTTTAGTCAAAGGCAAAAATCGAAAAGTCTAATAATCGAGGCAAAAATCGGAAAGTCTAAAAGTCGACTTTTGCGCTCGTCTACGTATCCCTAGTCTGGGCGTTGATGAATCTTTAAATCAGTCAGTCAATCACTTTACTCTTTTATTAGTATAGATATATGGATTATTTAGCAATTTTTGCTACATTTCGAAGGAAGGTATTTTCATTAAAATTTTGAAGGTATTTTCATTTTAAATTTTTGAAAAAATTGAAAACATATGAGTGCATGAGACTATGTACCTTGTATAATTATGCCATTGAACTTTATGTTTGATTTGCATTTACCAGTAATTTCTGATTCTGATTCCGTTAATACACTAGTTTTCCTTGTCTCTGACCCAGAAACTACAACTGTTAATGTTACAAATTTATATATCTATATAATATATATATATAGTAATATCGATATTATTGAACTTTTTTCATTATGGCATCAACATTTTAATGAGTTTTTTTTTTTTTGATATTCATAGCCATTTGCAAATCTAGTTTTAATTGACTTATAATAACAGTAATTAAATTTTAACACAATGTGTTCACTTGCTATGCATTTATTACAAATGTTATTTTATATTTCTTCACCTTCCACATGATTATACATATATCAGAACAGCTTTTAGCCCCACAAATAAAAAATTCATTTTAAATCGGTCGATGAATTTTCAATGTCGTGTATTTTGAACTGGTAATTGAGTTTAATCATAATGATTAGATTTCCGATAAAGAACAAAAAAAAAACTGACAGAAAGTAAGAAACAATTCGTGTAATTTTCATTGAGAAAACCCGTTTCTAATATTAATTATTGAAAAAAATTCTAGTTTTTTCATTGACATTTTTAAATATAGAATGCAATTGTAAGTTGTAAATTGCAAAAAAAAAAAAAAAATAAATAATAATAAAAACGTGCTGACTAGTATTTGTTGTTCAATTATAACCTGAAGTAAAATTGAAATAAATGTTTTTTTTTATACATAAACGAGCCTTTTTATCTTATCAGATTACCCCCGCACATTGTATTGGAATATACAAACAATTGAATGTTTACAATTTCACTTTTATTTTTTTGTTTAATCTCATCGTATTATTTTGATTGAATGATTCATGCGAGTTACCAATGGGAAGACGAATATTCTAAATATAGAATAAAAATAAATACAAAAAAGTTACAACAAATTGTATATGTACGAAAAAAACAACAAATTATCGGATTTCTTAACAATATATACTTAAAAAAAATAATAATAAATATAATTGAAAATGTGTATACAATTATTAATACGTCTGGTATAAAAAATAATATTAATTTTCTTCATTTTGTTTTCAAAAAAAAAAAGCTCAGAAACAAATTTTAAAGGGTTTAAGTGGTGAATTTCGTGCTGGAGAATTGTCAGCCATCATTGGACCATCTGGATGTGGAAAAACAACGCTTATTAATCTGTTGGCGGGATATAGGTAAGCTATATAGACCTTATACACAATATTTGTTATGCCTGTCTGAAATTGGGAAGTTCTATTTTAACAACGTTACCTATAATCCGACGGGGGCGTACAGAAAAAATCAACTTCCCCACTTTAGCAAAATGTTGTGTATGGCCGTATCACCCAAATACGTCGAATCCATACATATATTCAAGCGAATAATACAATCCGCCAAACAAAATTGAAAATTTATTAAATTGATCCAAATATTTTATGTTCACGTTCGAAATTTTATGTTCACGTTCGAAATTTCTGAATGTTCTGTTTTTATTTTCAACAAAAGAAAAAACAAAAAATACCTTCTGTCAAAGTTGAAATCAAGGTAGATATACAAGGTAGCCGCATCGGCGAATTGGGAACATGATATGTTAAAATTGTTTACCAGGCGAATAATACTAATTTCGGCGTGTCATAAAAAACTCGAAGCAAATTAAATTCAACCAATCACAATTAAGCATTTTGAAAAAAGAAAAATATTTGTTTACTTTTTGAAAATTGAAAATTTTTAAAATAAATGGTGACATCGGATGTAGTGAGAGATAATAAGATTTAAGCTATTCTTTACGTAGTTTTATCATGCCCTCACATGCAATTTTTTAAAACAAAATATAATAAAGACAAAAAGGTCCTATCGAAAGAAATATCATCTCCATGCCTTTTTATCATTTTTTATTCTTTATTTTCAAATATATTTCAATGAATAGGTAGTCCATTTAGCGCAGCTGATGTCTCGGCTAACTGTCAAAGTGCGTAATTTCTACTTGAATTCGATGTGCAGTGTTGCCAACCATTTGAAATATTATACGGAAAATTTTGACAGATGATCGAGACAAAAACCAAGATTGTTGTTGTGATACATCACCTTATTATTGCATAATGGTCAAAACCTAAAGAAGGAAACAAATATATAGTACGTTTACAATATGGAGGATTTATTAAATCAAGTACAGTATTTTTCGGTTAATTGACCCTACGGTTAATTGGTTTCCACGCTTAATTGAACCACATGATGGGGCAAAAAATATTTCATAGGGAAATACATGTAAATTTTCTCGGATAATTAAACCCTGTTAATTGATTTTCCCGCTTAATTGGTTCAAAATTCATGTCATCAAAAATAAATTTCCTTTTAGTTTTCACCGGTTAATTGCATAATAATAATTGAAAAATAATCTGCCATATTTTTACATAGATATTTGACAAAATTTGTGAAAAAGACTAGGTGGCATCTCTACTAATTCAAAACATATGTTTATTGCTAAGGGCATTGGATTTTTTTTAAATCATTAGTAGTTCCAATTATACGTGATTACTGTAATTGAACAAACAATTCAATTAAGCGGGTTAGGATAATTGGTTCCTCGGTTAATTGAACAAAAATTTGTGCAAATTTTGATGTGAAATTAACCGAAAAATACTGTATAACTAAGTTGTCAATTCCATTCCATATGTGGCAAATAAATCCTCATAGAAGATGTTAACCGGGCAAAAAGTTCTAATGTAAATGCCGATTTATATTTAATTATGAGCTAGGTAATACGCTAAGATGACTCTGTGAAATATATAACAACTTGCATAATCGTATTTCTGCATCTAATCCTGTATATGTACATAATTAAAAATTTATATAATTAATCAGAATTAGGCGGTCCTGTTTACCATTTTTACTCGTCCCAATTTCTCGAGTAAAAAGTTTAAAAAGAGAACGTCATTTTGTTTTGTTCTCTCTTAAATTTGATTCAATGTTTTACCAGTTTTGTGGGTTCAGGAACGGGTTCCGAGTAAAAAGTTGCAAAACTTGTAAAATTAGTAGACTCTAGGTTCTGGAACGGAACTTATGTCTCTACATCAGTTAGTTATGCCATGTTCTGACGGGCATTCGAACAACGTAGTTCGCTCTCAGAATTACATACATGAATTAACCCGTTCATACAGCACTATTCTTAATTCATGTCATTAGAGTTTTTTTATTTCAAACTTTTTCTTTCTAGTTTTACACCAAAATGTTAACATATTTGCGTGAATCTCTCCTGACTATAGTATGAACCTATATCTATTTGCTTTTAATTCATGTTTTCCATTTTTTCCGAAAATATTGTTGCTATGAATAAATTTTTATATTTCCTCAATTCAAATGTGACATATAAAAAATTGGAGAATTTTTGTTTGGGTTTCCCCACATTTGTTTCTCATTTTGTATGCTAATTAGAACAAAAGGGAAAGAAATGCATATCGCATTATGTTGATTACAAAATTTACTTCCTTCTGCATATATAAAAACTAGACAATTTGTTACTTTTCATTCATCATTTTCAATTTTACTGAAAAAGTTTGAAAATTTCATAAATATTTTCAAACTGTCAAAATTAATTAATTTTCGATAAATACTCTCAAATGTTAGGGATGGGACAAAATTCTTGGTTATTCAGAGAGTGATTCGAATTGAACAACGTACAAAAGTCGGTGTTCGCTCAGAAAATTTTGTATGGGGAACTAAGTAATTACTTCATAATTAGGGGTCGAACAACGAATGAGAGAGCGAACGACGCTCGTCTGTACATGGCATTAGATGCACTTTATATTTGAAATGCTTCCATTTTACTAGCTTTACTATTAAAAAGCACTGGAACAGACCATATGTCTTCTAAATCGACTCTATTTCTAGATCAGAGTACAAATTCCCAGCTGTTTCGACTAGTAGTATTAAAATGTTTTTAAGGTTGACAGTCATCTGTTATTTGTTTACGTTCAATCAACATTCTCATATAGTTAATATGAAATACTCTCCATTACGTTCAAAAATCATACAAACAATTGTTTCTTAACTATTCATATCATGGCATAATTATACAAGGTAGTCCATGCAGTCATATGTTTCCAATTTTTTCATAAATTTGCCTTTGACAATATTCAGCTTTCAAAATTCAAATGAAAATAATTTCCTGGATTTCTGAACCGGATTTATGTGACGTATGGAATTGACGTTTAGGATTAGTGGATTAAGTAAGTTCAAACGTAGACTAACAATATTATACCAAGGCCTTTTAATAAGGTCTTGGACCTGGATATCAGCTGCTTCTCAAATGTGCTGTCAAAATCCATTATTGTGAACGAAAAAACAGCTGACTTTTGCTAGCTGGGTGTCTTTATTAATAGATCTTGATTTATATCGTTTCCATACTCGATAACAGCTATTTGTGTCGTATTTTTCAATCATCTGCTCTGTTATTTGTCATAAAAATAGCTTCAGCTTCCTAAACAATGGCGTCAATAAAAGTAATCAATCACCTTCTGAATAGTATATATTATCGCAATTATAAAAATAATTATTTATGACTTAATCTGAATCATTTAGCCAATAAAAATATTACTGCGAATAATTTAAATGATTTTATTTTAAACAATGCAACGGTACCGACGATTGATAACTCCTTTCATGATAATCTCTCAGACTTCTCAGCATTTAAATTATCATAAGGGAAGTAATAAAGAAAATAATTAATAAAAAAATTGTACACGGGTATATATTTTTTAATTGTATCAAAAAATTGCGGGTCCATTGAACCCATTTAATGTTTATCTGAAATTGAATCGCAGTAGTAAAGTAAACAATAGTAATTATTTGGTCTGTTCACGTACTGCAAGAATGAACTATATTTTACTATTTTCTTCGATATCACAAAGGAAAATTCGTTATCGTAGTAAAAATTAGTAGATTCTTGCAGAACGGGAACAGACCAATTACTACCCAAGGTGTATAAAGTGTATGCTTTAGCTACAACAACTAAAATTTTACAAATTAGTTATTTCCATTGTTATAGAAATTAAATTGTCATGCATACAATAATAACAAATGTTGAAGAATTAAATACAACTATTTTTTCGAAATAACGAGAATAAATTTGCTGTTCTGGACGATACGATTTTTTATTTACAAATCATTTTACAAGATATTAAATTTACAAATTTTAAGGTGCTGAAATGTTTAAACTTGTTCTCACAAATAATCTATGGAATTCTGAGATATTAACCATACAAGTTCTGTAGGTGCGAAATTTGCTTGTACAAATCAATTTTCCGGTCTGGTCGCGGATCATTTCGAAAATTTTATCACAAGTAGTCCTTGTGTTCCTGAGATATTTGTGTTAAATATTATTCCAAATCTCTCGTTCTGAAAGAAAAGATAAGTTTGGTGGTCAATTGGGCTTTGTTGGTTATAGACCTTCAACTGTGGAATAATGCAAACGTGACATGAACCATTCGCTATACTAAAGCACAACGTGCAGTCCAAAAATTAATATCAATCGGACAAACCTTTATTATTTGGGTATTTATATATTTACGTCTATACATTTGTTAATGTTGATCACAAACTTTGGATAATTGGTACATCATTTAGATGAACGGATTTCAACTCAAGACTATGTATTATTTCGTGAAAATTGAACACACATAGACTATTTGGTGAACCATGTAGTATTTTATAAAATAAACACACATATAAAAAACTTCAAGGTATGTAATTTATTATTTAATCTAGGCAAAATATATTAGGATGTACAGGTTAATTTTTAAGAACTTCTTATATACCATTGCTCTTTGTTTTGCCTTTAAGTGGCGTATTCGAAATTGTATACGACATTTTTAAAAATAATAATGTCTTCACATTCTTTGGCAGAGATACAAAATTACTAGCTTCAATAAACTCTGTCTGTAGATTCCTCATTTCAGATATTTCATTCCCGTTGAAATAATTGATCTTGATCTACCCAAGTGTAGGTATTTTCTCCGCTTTCGTATTCATCGGGATTTAGTTTTTTTTTATTATGTAACCAGATAAGTACTCCAGAGCATCTTCTTGTAGCAAGCCAATATCATCGAATTGCATATCATTAATTAATCGGAACTCTATGGTTTCATTTATCAAAGTGTCAATTTCTTTGCAATTTCCGTTATCATCTAAGATTTCAATATCAGATGATCTGAATTTGCAACATATTTACATTATTTTCTGTGTATAATATCCCATATATACATACCACTCATCAATTTGATTCGCAACCAAATTGTAAAATGGATTGCGGTCCGCATTTGGTAATAAACTTTTCCTTTGAGAACCTCTTATTACGTAGCATGGTGAAAAATTGTCTTCACATATACACGATTTTGAAGACAATTCCATCCCACATATTTCACTCCAAAAGCACTTCCTTTTTTGTCATTTCGGACACTAAAAATGATCCGTTCCCCCATATTTCTTTCTTTTTGCAAAGTATACACTTTCGCATTTTTAATAATTATGAATGAGTATTTGAAAGCTAGAAACAATATTTTAAATTGAAATGAAAAAGGTAACTTTGAAAATGTGTTTGACAATTTACTTTACAAACAAAAAGAAAAAAGTTTAATACCATATGATTGTCACTTACACCTTATTAAATACACCTTGTTACTACCTGCCATCTGATTACAATTTTTTCCCCCAAGGTAAATATTTCCCCAATAAATATGTTTGTGTATGTGTCTGTATTGTTTTCAATACCATGTCAAATAAATTCCAATTAAATTGAAATATATTCAAATTTATAAGAAATGAAAATGACCTTGAACCGAGTTCGTCTGGAACTAATCATAAAACTCCTTGTACATTAGAACTTTTTACCGGGTTGAGGATTTATTTGACGTATATGCAAGGAAACCCACTGGGTTAACGAAATCCGGTTAAATGTAAACGTACTGTAACTTTCATTCATTTTTCGCGTTTTCACTTATGTGTTGGGAAATTGTAAATAAATACAACAACTTGTTGCGTATGTTTGTATCATGATGCAACAATAAGATGATGCATCAAAACAAAAAATATTTGTTTTTATCTCGACCATCTGTCAAAATTTTTCCATATAATATTTTACATGGTTGGCAACATTGCGCATCGAATTCAAGTAGAAATTACGCACTTTGACAGTTAATCAAGTCATCAGCTGAGCTAAATGGATGTGACAGAAGAAGCCACTACATACATGGCTGCATTTTTGTTACTCACCTCAACTTCACCGTCCTTGTATTATTGTACGATGCGTTATATTATAATTTGCAGATATCGTTAATAATTAAATTATCATTTTACATTATAATTTACCAAACCTCTTAATCTTTTTCCTCCCCTTTCTCTTTTTTTCAGAATCAAGCGTAAATCGGATAATATTTTCATAGACGATCGACCACTAAATCGTGGGAAATTTCGTAAAATATCACGTTATGTCTTACAAGATGATTATATTTCACCACATTTCACGGTTGTCGAAACAATGATGATGGCATCGAAATTCAAATTGAATCCCTGCTGTAATCGAGAACAACGTTATGTCACCATTTCGACGCTGTTGGAATTTTTCGGTCTACAGGAGCAGTCCAACACTAGGATAGCAAATTTATCAGGTGGTGAACTGAAACGGGTGTGCATTGCAGTGGAATTAATAAATAAACCGGTGGTGATATTTCTCGATGAACCAACAACGTAAGTTCAAGAGGAATTCCGTTCGTCAAACTTAAACAAAATATACATTCCGATCGTTTTCAGAGGCCTAGATGAATCAACAGCCTATCAGTGCCTGTTGCAGTTGAAGAAGTTGGCCCAAAGTGGCCACACTGTCATTTGTACCCTTCATTCGCCATCATTCCGTTTGCTGCAATTAATTGACAATATTTACACCATGGCCGAGGGACAATGTGTCTATCAGGGTGCCGTTCAAAATATAGTTCAATATTTGGAATTATTTGGTTTGAAATGTCCGATTAATTATAATCCGGCTGATTTTCGTAAGTATTTGTGTATTAGATATGTAAATTAGCTATGTTTGTAAAATATTTGAAAAATGCAACTCTGTCTGTTTTCTGTCAAAATTGTTCATTTGTTATTTATTGCATTCACACGAAATGACACATGGACAGTTAATTAGTTCTTTTTAGTGAATCGTTTAATTGAACTGATTCGTTCGTGAACTTAAAGCTCGTTTAGACTATACCTCAAAAATTAACTTGAAGAACGATATCCAGAGATACACCATAGCTGTTTAGACATACTTAGAGTTAATTTAAATTTCCATCAGCTGATCGGTTTATCAACTACACCATACCACATATATCAATCTATTATTAATATACTCATTTTATTTTCCCCCTCTAGTCATTGAAGCTACCACTCATGCCTATGGTAATATTCACGATCAAATGGTAAAAGCCGTAGATAATGGTAAAATACTCAAATGGCAGCCAATACGTGAGAAAAATCTGCCGAATACTCCAACCGAAAATGGCTGTGTGAAATTAACATTACCTGCGTCAAATCTGGAACCGGAATCCGATATGGAATTAAAGGAATGCGTTAAAATTTCATGGTGGCTACAGTATAAATGGCTGTTGCAAAGAATATTAATAAATATATGCAGAGATAAGGTAAGTCTATAATTTCTTTAAATCGATTATAAAGACATATGAGGGTAGTTCGGAAAATTCTTAGCCTTGCACCGAAAGCGCGGTATAAACAGGAAAAAGTGTTTGGTAACTTTCATCTCAGTTATGAACACATGTTAAATTTTGTTTCGATCTGGAAAACTCCTTCATATAGAAACAGGTGTTCACAAAAGACCCATCCGCAATTTTTTACAATGTAAAAATTAGAAATGCTAGCTTTCATTGTAAAAAATTTGCGGATGCGTTTTCACGACGTCAAAATGTTTAAATTTCAAATGGCATAATTTTTACATTTTTTTAATTTTATTGAAGGAAAGCAAAAAATATCGGAAATAACATCTAATTGGTCACCTTTGGCACGAATTATGGCCAATGAAACCGTCACACGCTTCCTGAATGTTGCTCTGCGGTATTTTGGCCCATTCCCGGCGAAGTGCTTGCATGAGGTGATCGACACTTTGATATTTTTAGTGCCATCCATGCTTTCCAAAATACTCCAGACACAATAGTGCAACGGATTGGTATCCGGAGGTTTTGTTGGTCAATGTGCGCTTGAAATGAAGCTAGGAACCTCATTTTGTAACCATTCTTGGGTGGCGCGTGCTGAGTGCGATGGTGTTGAGTCCAAGTCCTTGGAATGTCCAAGGTCTGCGGCTAAAAATGTTTGAGTGTTCATGGCTTAATACATCCTCCAGAATATTTTAGCGATAATATTCGGCATTTATTCTGATGCCACGGTCGATTAATACAAGCGGAGAACTACCATCGGCTGTTATGGCGGTCCACACCATCACTATGGCCAGCGCTTGAGTTCTGGTGGCCAACCGAAGGGCAGCGTGTGACGGCCAATGAAACCGTCACACGCTACCGGAATGTTGCTCTACGATATTTTGGCCCATTCGCGGCGAAGCGCTTGCTTGAGGTGATCGACACTTTGATATTTTTAGTGCCATCCTTGCTGTCCAAAATACTCCAGACAAAATAGTCCAACGGATTGGTATCCGGAGGTTTTGTTGGCCATTATGCGCTGGAAATGAAGCTAGGAACCTCATTTTGTAACCATTATTGGTTGGCGCGTGCTGAGTGCGATGATGTTGAGTCCAAGTCCTTGGAATGTCCAAGGTCTGCGGCTAATAATGTTTGAGTGTCCAAGGCTTTAATACACCCTCCAGAATATTTTATTCTGATGCCAGGGTCGACTAATACGAGTAGAGAACGACCATCGGCTGTTATGGCGGCCCACACCATCACCATGACCGGCGCTTGAGTCCTGGCGGCTAACCAAAGGTGCACATTTTCAGCTAACCTCTTTGGCAAGTAAACACGATAGTTTTGTTTGTTTGCAAACTGCTGGAAAACGAATGTTTTCTCATCGGAGAAAACCAAATTCGGCAGTGCACCACTTTCGGCCATGCGAGGCAACTCTTTAGCTATTTTGAGTATATTTTCTTCTTTTTGCGGTGTAAGTTCTTGCATTCTTTGGAATTTCATTGGCTTTAGCCCGAGCTCATTTTTCAATATTTGCCGAATGGAATATTGCGATATGTTCAGCTCACGAGCCACTTTTCGGCCAATGCAATGCGGGTTTCGATCAAGTCGCTACTTTAATTTTCGAACCATTTCTGATGATGTTGCTGTTTTCTTCCGTCCTCTTCCTTGACGTCGGGCTACGCTACCAGTATCAGGTTACGAGTGATGGTACGAGACACAAAGAATTTATTCATATTAAAATGCTGGAGTGCTCTAACGATAGTCACCTGTGGTTTGCCAGCCAAATATAAAGAAATCACATTATGACGCTTGTATTGTATTAATGCTTTTGTACGCTTGTAAACAATATAATCAGAATAATTTTAAAAGCTATCGGACGAGTGGCTTAGATATGATAGCAGTCCGGTGTTGGTTGTAGTTTTTTCATCTCACCCACTCTCCAAAATGTTCGTAGGTTGTATTTGGGGCTTTATTAAAAATAAACTAATAAAATAGTTAAGATATTCGCCGCTAGATTGCACTGGATGTATATTTACCCGTAGCCTTGACAAAAATCTACTGTAGTGCAATATAGTTAACACCCTGTGATCACTAGCAAATCCACACACCATAAAGGATGTACTAAGTATTCTTATTTTTTCACATAGCGTTGACAAGAATCTAATATAATGAAATATATGTGGCGCCCTGTGATCGCTAGCAAATCCATATACCATAAAGACTTTAATAGTCCTTGAAAAATATATTTTTTAAACTCTCACTAAGAGGTCGGTTAATCCGGTAGTTTGATAAAAATATGGCATAATGGTCCTCTAGTGGTCCTTCCAAAGCAGTTTGATAGTAAAATAAAAATATTATTTATTAAATCCTCTTGGATAAAATCCATAATTGTCCCTAAAAGATATTACTTTTAAATTCTTCTTAAAAATTCTTTTTTGTTTTATTTCCAGATCAACATTAGTTTAAGGGTATTTGCTCATCTATTCCTAGCAGCATTGGTTGGTGTGGCGTACATTGGTGTCGGCCGGGATGCCTATTTTGGAATGTACAACTATCACTTCAGCATGTTATCGGTGGTGGTATGTGTCTTTACAGCAATGAGTCCAGTTATTGCATCAAGTATGTGTTCCATGTGTTTTTTATTGTGAATATATTCCATTTAATATTTTCTCTTCGTTTTACAGCTGGTCCGGAAATGAAATATCTGCAGAGGCAAATCTATAATCAATGGTATTGTTTAAGTTCATATTTTATGGCTCTGATAACATCGCATGTGGTTACCGTTATGGTTATGTCCGTATCAGCCTCGGCTATTCTCTATTTCACCACCTATCAGCCGATGCAATTATTTCGTTTTGTATTATTCACGGGAATAATATTTCTCACGTCGATGGTGGCTTCCAGTTGGGGTTTACTATTTGGAGCTAGAATGAAGCTTGAGGTGAGTTTCTTTGAGAAAAACAATTTAATATTTTAAAAATAACAATTTTTTTTCTATATTATAGCACGCCTTCTTCTTAGGTCCCGCCTCCATTGCGGTATTTATTATTCTCGCCAACTATGCCACCGAACGTGATCATTTGAATATATTTCAAAAAATTGTAATGAATTGTAGCTGTTTACGCCACTCGCTGGAAGGCCTTTTGGCTGCGCTGTTAAAATTCAATCGTCCCGATTTAATCTGTCCCGAAACGGAATTTTTCTGTTTAATGGCAAAACCAAAAAGAATATTAAAATTAGTTGGCAGTTTAGATGTAGATTATACACAATCCGTGATATGGTTATTGAGTTTCTATACCGTTTTTACAGTGTTATCATATGTGGCTCTCAGATGGCGTTTGATGGGAGCAAAAATATCACATCTACAATTAAAATGGTTCATAGGACGATGTTTATGTTTGGAAAGATAAGAGTTTTTAATAATTATATAAGTTATAAATGTATTTATTAAGTGTAAGAAATTAGTTGGTAAGATTTTTATGTTGAAATAAAATTATAAAATATGTAATATATGAAAATTGATTTGCGTTCTTATATTTATGTTTTATAATCTATCAAAATCATAGGTGAACAAATTATTTGAAAATATTCAAAACGTTAATCAAATAATCAAAAAAATTATATAGTACATCGAAAATAATAGGTATATTAAATGTCAGTAGGATAGATTTGGGGCTGCATTAAAAATATAATAAAATAACGCAAGTTTTTGCCGCTATTTGCAGCACTAAGCATAGTATAGACATGAACCAACTAAAGTTAAATAGAGTTATCACCCTGTGATCGTTAACTGCCGCTATTTGCAGCACTAAGCATAGTATAGACATGAACCGACTAAAGTTAAATTGTGTTATCACCCTGTGATTGCTAGCAAAGAAACATAATATAAAAGCTATAAAGCTCTAATAATATGGTATCGAATTTTTTTTTTAAATCCACTTTTATGGAGATGATAATTCTTAAAAAATATTCTTCAACAAATCCATGCTTATGGTTGTGATAGTTCTTGAAAAATTATTTTTTAAAAAATCCGCGCTTATGGTAGTGATAGTCCTTGAAAAATATTCTTTAAAAATCCACACTTAAGGTGGTGATAGCTTTAGAAATAATTTTAAAACAAAATCCACTATTATGGTAGTGATAGGTCTTGAAAAATATTCTTTAAAAATCCACTCTTATGCTGGCGATAGTCCTTTAAACATATTCTTTAAAGCAGTAAGCGGAGCAGTATAGTCGGACGGGGCCGACCATATGAAACCCTACACAACTTCCACGAAAACTTTTTGTAGTTCTATATTCTGAGCTTGGGCGATATTTGCACCCTCTTGACCGACCAGAAGTCAACAAGTATAACTAATATTCAGTACAGCTCTTCTAATTACTTGACCAGATTCCCTTCACCATGGGTTGTGTTGTGATGCTCGGCTTTCAATTGTGGCCTAAAGATCGATTAAAAAAAACCACAAATTAAGTCTTCGGACCACTTCATCCCAATATTATTATCTAATCATCACCGAAAATTAAAGGCGTTGAATTTCAAAGCGATCAGCGCTATATTTCTGACTTGAAGTGTGGTAATGAGTTACTAAATAAGATATGAATACGTAAGCACCTGTAAATATTTAAGTGTAACTCCCGCATTCGAGTACATACGACAACACAATTGATCTCAATTTAAAGGTCAACCACTCCTCTTGAATATACTATCAACATCTGGGGTATTTGTTCTTCAGGAGTAAATATATACGGTATAGAATACAAATTTTGTCATTTTCCACACAAAAGTCAGGGTCCATTTGACCCACTAAATATTGACCGATCTTTATCAAAACAGGCAGGCTTTTTTTGGCCCGATCCCCTTTTCCATGCAAAAATTCGCGGTGTTTGGGCCATAATTGCGGCCTCAGAAGCGACCAGAAAACCCGACAAAAATAAAGTTTTTGGTCCATTTCATTCCCTAAATATTAACCGATCTTTTCCAAAAGCAATACGAGTCTTCATTGGCCAGAACCAATCCTACATGCAAAATTTCGTGAAGATTGGTCCATAACTGTGGTCTGTATCGCGTTTACAAATTTTAATGGACAGACGGACACACATGCCTAGATCGACTCAGCTAGTCGAGATATGACGATCGGTATACTTAAAGGTGGGTCTAGGACCAATATTTCGCGGCGTTACAAACTTTTGAGGCTGCACAAAGCTGTAATACCCCGACAACATAGTTGTGTAGGGTATAAAAAGTATCGCTTATGGAAATCATAGACCTTGAAAAATATTGTTTAAAAAAGTATAGCTTAAGGTAGTGATAGTCCTTGAAAAATATTCTTTACAAAAATCCACCAATTGATGGTCATATTATTTTTAAAATCCACGCTTACGTTAATGAAAGTCTCTCAAAAATATTCTTTTAAAAACAAAGCTTACGACCCTGAAATTAAAAAAACCTAAAAAAGTTTAGATATTGTACTTTTTATTCCAATCGTGTAATATTTTTAAACGGCATTTACATTAGAGCTTTTTAGCGGGTTAACCTACTTTATGAGGTTTTATTTCACATATATACAAAATTGAAATTTAAACTCACTGGGTTAACGAAAACCAGTAAAATTTACACACACTATTATAAAGTCTGTAGGTATAATTTGGGACTTCATGAAAAACTAATCCAAATTAGTTTGGACTTTGCGGATAGATGGTGTTGGTAGTATTTTATTACTCGCAGTATAGACTTGAACCGACAGTGGGAAAATGAAGTTATCACCCTGTGATCACAAGCATAGTCGCATACCATAAAAATCTTCAATAGTTCTTAAGCAAATATTCAGCAAAGTTAGTTCTTATGTACTGAAATATTTAAAAATATATTTTTTAATTCAAATCGTGTGATTTTTTAATGTAAGTAGGCAAGATTTAGGACTTCATGAAAAACAAATCCAATATAGTTCAGACATCACAGGTAGGTGGTGTTGTTCGTATTTTATGTACCGTAGTATAGTCATCAACCATCCCTTAATATTTGACAAATATATTCTTCAACCTTAAAAAAAATTAAAAGTTTAGATATAGTACTTTCCCATTCATATCGAGTGATTTTTTTAATGTCAGTAGGTAAGACTCGAGACTTCGTGAAAAACTCATCCAAAATTGTTCAGACTTCGCAGGTAGGTGGTGCTGCTCGTATTTTATTTACAGCAGTATAGACATGAATCAACGGTGGTGAAATTAAGTTATCACCTTGTGATCGCTAGCATAGTCACACACCATAAAACTCTTTAATAGTTCCGCAAATATTCCGCAAGATTAGTACTTATGTACTGCAATATTGAAAAAAAAACATATCTAAGTCCACTATTGTGATTCGGAAAGTCCCTTCAGAAAATATTCCTTTAATCTTTAGAAAAACCTACATTCTTCAATTGTCCATCCATACATTTTCCCCAAAAATTTTCAAAATTATTCATATTAATCTGTTTCTAAGTCCGCATCTGTGTGGGCATTCCAGTATTTTAGGTATTTCAAGGTCATTGTAGCACTGCAAAAAAAAAATGCTGATAACAAAATGTGAGACTACGTGACAAATTTTGATGACAAAAATAATTATATTTAAATTACCTTTGGTTTTATTAAATCGAAATCTAAATATACAAAAAAATATTACAAATATTATTGTAATGTTTATTTGACTAAATTAGTGAAATACCTATGGTGTAGGATATTTATAATTCGACTAGACCGGAATATAAAATCCTATGCGTTTTTGTTTGTTTTCTTGTATCAAATAATAAAAGTAAAAAAAAAAATTTCGATGAGATTTGATTAAATTTTGTCAAGTTCCGTTTGTATACAAAACTATGGATCACACAATATTTTGGCGATAAAAGCTAATCACTTTTCATTTTTTTTAAATTATTCTAAAGTGCGCAGACTTTGGGAAACACAAGCCAAAATCAAGGTCATGTTTGAGGGAAGTGTATATATACATATTTTTAAGTATGTCTGCACATATTGGCGTCAGTTGTGGATTATAAATAACTATTCGAACTTCTAAATGGCCCCTACACATAGACGGTATACGATATATATAAATACTCTAAATGGGATTTCAATAGATAAAATATCGTACATACATATATGTCTATCAACATGGAGGTGGCATTCAATTAATCACTTTATTAAACAATTAATTAATATTATATATATATATATATATTTGTTGACGACCTTCAAAGGCCAATTTACAATTCACACATTATAAATTAAGTATAGAACAGGTTCGCAAAATATTTCCTACGATATTGCTTTTTAACAAAATATTAAAATATACTTTGGAGGCAATTATATCAATTTGTATGTAGTTAGGAGAAATTCAACTCAATACCTTTTTTGAAATCAACGAGATTTTTAATTAATTTCGTATGTTAATTACACAGTGCAACACAAAAAATAATTACCGGGAAATTCCAACAGATTATGAAAGAGGGGCTAAAAAAAGAAGAAACGTGTTTCGGTAATTATCAAAAAAAATTCAAATTTGTCGCACAGTGTTATTTAGAAGTAGATGTTTCGAATTCATACAAAGCCAACTTAAAAGGCCAGGCCTGAATACTCGTATGTGCTTCCCCCTTAAGTTTTCATCAACAAATTTCTCTATGTGAATTATTTGCTGTATATTTTTTGCCCGAACAAAATATCAAATATGGATCTGTAGAATAAAACGAAAGGACGGATAGCCAAAGAACTTAATAGGAATCCACAAGGGTCCAGAAAATCTGGTCGTCTTTAAAGGGGATATTAAGGAAATTAGAGACAAAGCTGAAGCCATTATTATAAAGACGAACAAACAAGGGTCCAAGGAAAAGGGTTACAAAGTCGGAAACTTCGTAGTGATATAGAATGTAGACACAACGGTAGGAGTTAACAATAACAAAAAGCCATTGCAAAAATTTAAGGCCCTTATAGGACGTTTACATTGTAGCTGATTTAGTTAACCCAGTGGGTTTCAAATGTCAATTCCATTGCCTATTTGTCAAATAAATCCTCATGAAGTGGGTTAACCTTGGAAAAAGTTCTAATGTAAATGCCGTTTTAATCGGCATATATATTACAACCTTTTTACCGCGTTAACCTACTTTATGAGGATTTATTTGACACATATGCAAAGGAATTGACAATGGAAACCCACTGGGTTAACGAAATCCGGTTAAATGTAAACGTAATATTATGCCATAAACAAGGTGCTTCCAAATGATAGATACGTAGTCAAAAAAAAAAAAAAAATTATATATATATATATATGAAAATTGTCAGAACACCCAAATTCCTGATCGAAGCTTGTAACATACTATTGTGGAAGACGGATGACCCAGGTGAAGAGATACAGAGCTGCTCTGACCCATAGTGTTAATAGTAACTTCAGTATGTAGAATAATCGCATTAAGTATAATAACCCCTAGTATAAGTACTAGGGTTCACTACTATCAGGTTGGCCGATCTGTAGTAGAATAGAATAGGAAATCAGTATTATATAGTATTTATTTATATAGTATTTACCATGGTACAATTATTCAAGGTAGGCCATAGCAACATGTAAGTTACAAATTTTTCATCCTCCTCCAAGTGGGTGCTTCCAAATGATAGATACGTAGTCAAAAACATTGAAAATTGTCAGATCATCCGAAATCCTTATTATGGAGTACTCGAAGCTTGCAAATTATGATTGTGGAGGACGGATGACCTAGACGAAGAGATCCCAAACTGATCTGACTCATAGAGGATATAATATATCATAAGTAGCTTCAGTATGTAGAATAATCGCATTAAGTATAATAACCCCTAGTATAAGTAATTTAACCTCTATGTGATCGGGGCGTTCGCTACTGACAGGTTGGCCGACCTGTAGAAAAATAGCTATTCAGTATTAGGTGGTTGAAAAACTATAGAACTTTAAGTGGCACGAGGTCTGCAGTAAGAGCCGAAAGGGACCTCTCAGACTAGGAGACAGTTTGTCGCGTGACCAGTTTCTCATCCTGCTGTAAAAGGTCATACGAGATGCAAATGTAATCAGAAATGGCACTCTTTACACCAAACAACGCATGTTACTCGTCTACACCGACGACATCGACACAATGGGTCGAACATTGCGAACGATAACAGCCACATTTGAACGAATGGAGGAGTCGTCAAAGTGGGACTGGCAGTAAATGGCGAAAAGACCAAGCTGGTGAACTGTGGAACAACAGCTTCGTGGTAGTCAAAGATTTTATATAATGAACCTAATTTTCTAATTGGATGAGATGTGCGCTTGAAATTTTTTAAGCTCGGCTTATGGAACAGCCGTCCCTGTCACAAACCAGCTAAGTAAGTAAGTTGTAATAGAATGGATTTTTCTTGGAAATGCCCTATGTTCTCATGTGGAATGAATAAAGGGAAAGAAAGTTGTTTCGAATAAAATATTATTTTATACCACAATTATTATATACCATACAAATGTTAAGGAAAGGGAACACACCAGAGATACATAGTCGAGCGCAAAAGTCGACTTTTCGATTTTTGTCGCAGGCCAAAAAGTCGATTTTAAGACTTATGGTCTTTGACAAAAAAGTCAAATTTTCGATCTTTCTATTTTCTCAGATCTCTTCAAAATCGATTTTCGTCTTTTACCGACTAACACAAAATCGACTAAAAATTTAATTTTTTTATATGATTTGTTGTCAACAGATAAAATAAAGTCCGGAATTGCGTATTTTAGGGCAATTTGTGCTTTGCGGTAATAAACTAAGTACTTATGAAGAAAATTTAAAGTCGATCTTGGAAAGTCGACTCTATGACTACCTCAAAGATCAGAAGTCGAAATCGATTTTTTGATTTTTTTTTCCTATTTAAGTTATTGGCCCGCCTCCCGATTATCGAGTATTAATAGCGCCACCACAGATTATGTAGACTTTGTCTACGAGCCTTCAAAATACATTTAATTTAAACACTGATTTCCTTGGTGAAATGACCAAATCGTTAGGATAATTCCAATGATAATGAAATCCTCAACCGTTCGGATTCCATTGAACGACTCGGACTTTATAGGTTATCCGTATTCGAAAAAACACGTGTTAGTTAAGCGAACGCTTAACAACCGCCATTTTGTAAAAAAATCTAAATTTCCGCCTGTTCATCGATTACATTAGATTATAATGGTCAGGTGACTATCAATTCTGAAGGAATTGAAATAGGATGCTGAAATGATTGTTTTTATCTGCAGGCAGGTCAAGTTCGAGCATATAGGTTATATGGGTCCACCTACATTTAGGCATAGCCCTTACAAAGGGTACCCGTCATTTGTTGATATTTTTTGGATCTTGAGCGCGTTTTGGAATTTTTGATCGCGTTTGTCAACCGAATTCGTTGTAATTTGGTACTTTGCGTTCTTTATGGGTATCTAACTTATCCACTGAAAATTATAAATACAGCCCAAATTTTCTCGTAGCCACCATATAACAGTAGCTCCAATATTCGATATTTTGGTTTTTTAGCGGGCTTTTCCACCAAATCCGCTGTAATTTGGTACTTAGAGTTGTTATTGGGTACCAAATCTCTCTCCAGTAAAAATTATAAAGATAGGTTCACTTTTTCCGGCAGACCCCATATAACGGAACCCTTCAAATTTCAGTATTTTGACGGTTTTGGAATCGAATTTTAATTGAATTTGATTTTTTGTAGTCCTATTTGATAACAATTCTCCCTCCCAAATGTTATTTATGTTCGTTCCTAAGTCCCAATTTATATTAGGCGAGTTTACTTGCGTCAAGTCTTTGACTGTAGGAGAGAGGGACAAGGGGAATAGAAATGGTAAAAAATGTTCGTTCCGACAATTTTCTGGCAATTCGTTTTGTGTATTTCGTATTCGTTGACATTTTATATTTATTTAAATGTGAAAAAACTATTGACATCAAATGAAAAAAATAAATATTTTCGAAACCGAATTGCCTTGTATAGACGCATGAAGCAAGTTCAAGAGGGAACGATAATAATTGCCGCAAGTAAACTCGCCTAATATAAATCAGGACTAACGGTATGACATCGCATTTAAAATATTTTTCCGTTACATTTATTCACTTTCGACACCCAGCGTTACTTTACCAGTACGTTACGCAGTCGAATAATTACTTACCTTTCTTCTATGCCCTCTTTCTACACATGATCGGTGCCAAGACCGCGTTATGCTTCATACTCATTCGTAAACATTACGGTTGTCTTCCATTTTCCTTTTGTTATGGTCCTTATCGGCCATAACTCCCGTCGCCCAGACTAATCGTTGGGCGAAGGTTTTCATTCATTTCGCACATACACAAATCGAATCATTCGCATTTTACCGAAAAATGTCCTGCAAATAATGGACGGCATTAATCTATTTCATCAATTTGTGCACGCCACAAACCCCAACTGGAAGCTGCTGCTGTACCACAACATTTTTGGCAATTAAATTATTAGAAAGTAACAACGGAGACCTTCGATGCTGGTGTCGTGTTGCAGCTGATGCTCATCGAATATGACGAAGAGGATGCCTTGGATACCAATGTGACAGATGATGGGAATGAGTGTCGGCCAGTGTTTGCCCTGTCCGTTGCTGCCGAGGGAGGTATTCGTGCCAATGATCCTAATGCTGTATTCATGGTCGATCATGCCTGGACATTAAGAACAAATAAGTTGGAACAATATGACCATTTGCTGAATGGCATGCGAAAATCTGGAAATATGCCCAAGTTTATACACTGAACAATTATCCGATGAAGATTGTCAACAAATTTGGTATATTATGGCTGGATGACCCCAACTTTAGAATGGTACCTTTTTTGCATTTAGGATTGTGAGCAGGGTGATCAGGTATGTCATGACTTTGTGGAATATGTGGAGGAATATGCCGAGGAACGTAAGGTGTTGCTAATGTCATGGCAATTTACCGATTAAAGTTTTGTTCGGTGCGAACCTTCGGTTGAGTACTACACGGCGGGTCACATATCCCAATGAGGATAATTTGTGCGAACCTCAAATTGATAGAAATGAACCCTTGAAGGTATACACCGTATATGATATTGTGAAGCAACAATATACATCGCCCTATTTTAGAGTGGTGGACAATTCTGAAGATGCGATGTTTTGTGATTGACAATACATTTCAAAGATTTCGCCGAGCTGGCTCGCACCACGCCTAATAAATTTGTCAACCAGTTCCCTTTTGCCAGTTCACCTGCCGTAGGGCTGCCACAGAACATCACAACAAGGAAACACTGGAAACCTATCACAAATGGTTGCCAACAAAGTATAACCTAAAAACGGAACTTTTAGGATTTGCCTCGAACTATCAGAATAGCGCTGCCAAGGGACTGGATAATCATTGGATTGTAAAACCATGGAATTTGGCCAGAGCATCATGTCAAGTGTGATGACTTTTTGAAGATGTGGCATCAAAAATATCCCAAACATTCTTGGTCCGAAATTGAAGATCGCATTTGTTCCATGCTTTATGAAATGTTGGAATGTCAAGAACCACAATGACAGGGCATACAAGCTATAGAAGTAGTTTAATTGAACGGCTTATTGTTTTTATACCCTTCGCCACAATGTGGTACAGGGTATTATGTCTTTGTGCATATGTTTGTAACAGGCAAAAATAATCGAGATAGAAACATGGTTCCTTTTGAGAGTATGCATAGAATCACTTTCTGAGTCGATTTATGCATGTCAGGTCGCATTTATGATCCGATTTGCATGAAATTTGGCACAGGTCACTAAATTGGCCCAAGGACGAACCCTATTGAAAATGGTAGCTCTCCCATAAAATGGTTAAAATGTAGATAAAAATTAATTTTATAATAACATGAAAACAGATAATCCGATTATAACGAAACTTTGTATTATCATTACCAAGCCTAAGTCAGGTGGGAAGATTGGACTCATTGGTCCACCCCTATTGCTCCAATGGTCAAAATTTTCGATATTTATATATCCAATATCAGGTGAATGGAATGTCCAATTTGAAACAAACTTTGCCCAATTTGAAACAAACTTTGGACCCGCCTGTCCTCTCCTCTGGAACATAGTACAAAAAGGGTCAATATTACCGCAAACTATAGGGTGATGACATATATCTATCGGCCACACCGACAGATATATTTTGTTTTTAAATACACAACAACTCGATGACTTTCACGTCAATAAGTTATTGAAAAGATTTTGGAGTAGTGGGAATCACTTCAACATTATTTAAACTCAATGATTTCGAAGCAGATTCCCAAAAGATAAGGCTCAATTCTATTATTTCGACATTTTCAAACCCTTTTTACAAACTGTTATTTTTGTTCTTGCAATATGTACTAACAATTATAAATAATATCAATTTAGAAATGCAGTCTGAGGATGCGAGAATACATGTAGAAATTATAAAGTCTTTCAGAAACGGCAATATAGACACTCGTTGATCAAAGGCTGTTGGCTGAAGCCAAAAATTAACTAAACGAACATATGTTTCCTTATACATCACAAAATTGTTAGAGGATTATTATTCCACATTCCAATTTATTATCTATTTCACATTCATATGCAATTGTGGAAAGGGTATATTTTCATATCAACATATAATTAAAACCAAAGAAATAAACAGACTACATGTTGCGATTGTTTCAAATCTTCTTTAAGCAAATGACTAGTTGAAGTCGTGGTGCTAGCGATACATACGAATGTGTTGCAAAAAAGTTTTACAGTATTTTTCGGTTAATTGCACATCAAAATATGCAAATTTTTTGTTCAATTAACCGAGGAACCAATTATCCGATACGCGCTTAATTGAACTGTTTCTTCAATTACAGAAATCACGCATAATTCGGCGGAATTAATTTCGAATGTTATTGTCAAATACAAATTAAACACTTACAATTTCGTGCAAATCGAGAAATATATATGGGCTTTGGTGCACCATTTACATAACATCGGACGAAAATATATATGGGAGCTTTATCTAAATCTGTACCAATTTTCACGAAATTTAGTACATAATATTCTAGTCATTATTCAGTATTCTATGCCAAACTTCGTAATCGAAAAATATATAGGGGATTCGGTGCACCATTTATATCTAGATTTGAACCGATTTTTCTCAATTTCAATAGAGTTTGTCCTTGGGGCAAATAAATTTCGTGCACCAAATTTCATCTAAATCGGATTTGAAATGCAATGTGTACTTTGTTTACAATTTAACATCAACAGACGGACGGGCGTGTATAAATCGACATAGAAAGTGATTCATGCATATTGTAAAATGGAACCATGGGTCTATAAAAATGCCAGATTATTTTTCAATAATAATGCAATAAATTGGTGAAAAATAAGAGGAAATTAATTTTTGATGACATGAACTTTGGAACATTTAAACGGGAAAATCAATTAAAAGGGTTTAATTATCCAAAAAAATTTACTTGTGTTTTCGTATGCAATATTTTTTGCCCCATCATGTGGCTCAATTATGCGGGGAAACCAATTAACCGTAGGGTCAATTAACCGAAAGATGATGTACTTAATAATTTTATATATTTTATAAGTACGTAGAACAAATGAATTTTTATGTACCTTTTTGTGGATTTTTATGTGTTCATTTTTATTAAAACATATGTAAAGTGTACAATCGGAATGAAAAATAGGACATTTTATTGAAAACCCGTACAATTTGAATAATTTCATTTTTCCTTTCCTGTTTGAGATCGAGTGGATTTAGTAGTGTAAACGTGCTCTAAATACTGCTATTACTCATTGCAGATAACACAGTCGATTAAATTATTATTTTGGCGGCGCTAAATTTACTGTCAGTGTTGGAAAGTGGCATAAAATCGACGGCAAGTAGATGTTGTGTATGGCAATGCCATACATGAAGACTTGTCGTTATTTGAAATTAGGCGTTTAATAAAAGTAAAAGTAAAAATATTTAATATTTATTACTTATTTAATTTTGAATACACACACACACTTATATATAATTCAGGTTTATTTATTAACAAAATACAAATTATGACATTTTATTAAAAAAAATAGAAATACCAATGGCATTTTTGTCATAATATTGCGTTCAATGAATTTTAATATGGGTTGGGTAAGGGGATGATAGATACCAAGCAACGGCTCAGATAGGCTTTAACATGGCGAAGTTCAGGCTTTCATCTCAATTGTGGACAATGACCTCCCCGCGGTGCCACCTGGGGAGCTATTTTTCATCACCCGATGAAATAGTAAGCTAATATGTGCCACGAGTTCACCCATAAGAACTATAAAAAATGGGTTGAGGCGTCGGGCTAGTTGCCCACTCACGGAAAACCCAACCTACTATAAAAAGCAAACCAAACCCCCCCTAATGTTGCACACCCCCGCGAACGTATAAAGGACCACAATATGCGAATCTGCACTTGGAATGTGCGCACCTTGTACAGAACAGGCACAGTGTTCGCTTTGGCGGATGTACTGAAGAAGTACAAAGCCGATCTTATTGCGTTACAGGAAATGGGATGGAAAGTGTCTGGCTTAAGTAAATCAGATGATTACGCCCTGTATTATAGCTGTCATGAAACGAGACATGAATTTGGCTGCGAATTTATGGTTAACAGGAGAATAAAAGACCTCGTCTCCAGATTCACTCCAGTAGATGAGCGAATTGCTATAATCCGTATAGCAGCGAAGTTTTTCTACATCAATCTCATTTCGCCCATGCTCCGACCGAAGATAACGATGAACAGACAAAAGACATATTTTACGAGCGCCAAGAAACAGCAAATGATCGTTGCCCTGGCCATGACATTAAAATGCTGCTAGGAGATTTTAATGCAAAAATCGGAAAGGAAAATATCTTTGGCCCCACCGTCGGAAAATTCTGCCTCCATGAAAAAACATCAGACAACGGCATGAGGTTGATTGACTTCGCGGCAGCAAAAAACATGGTGGTTAGCAGCACCAGATTCAAGCATCTCGATGTACACAAGGCCACTTGGATTTCTCCCGATAGAACAACGAGAAATCAAATCGATCATGTTGTGATAGACGTCGATTCGGACCATTACCTTGTGGCAGCCAAGGTACGCACCCGTCTTAATGTAGCAGCAAAGGTGCGATCTAATGTAACACGAAAATTTGACGTCGAAAAGCTGCAAGGACAATAGATAGCAGAAGCCTACTCCGGTCAACTTAACCAACTGCTTGACGAAAGCACCCCTTGTCACGATAATAATATAGAAGCATAATGGCAGATAATTGCCCACTCCCTACAAACTGCAGCAAAAGCAACACTTGGATACCAAAGACCACCATCAAGAATACCGTGGTGCGATCAGGAGTGTCGTAATGCTACTGATATGAAAAACGCAGCGTATAGAACAACCCTGCGGACAGTAGCAACACGTAATGCAATGGAGAATTATCGGGAGAAAAGGAGAGAAGAGAAACGTATTTTCAGAAAAAAGAAGAAAGAGCAAGAAAAACGTGAGCGTGAGCAAATCGAGATGTACAGGAGTCAGAATGAAGTCCGAAAATTCTACAAACGGGTAAAACACCAAACCGAAGGCTTTGGTGCAGGCACATCCTCCTGTAGAGATAACGAAGGAAATCTGGTGACAGACGCTGTCTGTATCTTTCACCAGATTTCCTGAGGATCTAGAAGGAACATTTTGAAAAACTTCTGCTATCAAAGAGTAGCAGTGAAGTGGATACCCCAGAACCAATGATGAAGCCAAGATGAAGTC